TGTGATGGGTCCAGGAATGGGCACAGGCCCAATTCAGGCCAATGGGACTCAAGCCTGCCACCATCTAGAACTGTTAGAGGAAGGATCCCAAGTGTGAGCTGCTGACAGCTTCCTCCCACCACATGTGCTGAAGAGGGCAGAGCAGTGGGGCTGGACCCTGACACCTCATAGTTACACAAGCCAATGGTTTTCCCTGTTATTGTAAGCCAATTTGAACATAAGAGCCCTAATTTGCTCCCCAACATTTCCCTGCCCCCAGTGAAGCCTGAGCTCCCTGCATGCAGGACCCTCCTTGCTGACAGAGGCCATGAGTGCAGACTCAAGTCAGAGTCAGTTACAGGATGGAGGTGCTGGAACTCCATCCTCCCCTTACACAACTGTCCCACCTGCAGGGTGGCAGGCTTGGCATGCCACTGTTCTGCCAGGGAAGATGGAGGCTATGAAGAAGGTGCTGTTAGGTTCTGCCATGTGAGGACAAGAACAGGGAAGCCTCTTAAGTGTTGAGCTTTGTGCTTGCGTCATTTATGCATATGCTTATTTGAATCCAACTCCAGGAGGAAGAGGGACAGGAACTGTGACTTTCCCTGAGTCACAGAGGAGACACCTCCCGCTGCGGCACCCCCCAACCCCCCTGCAGCCTAGTCTCTTGGCTGGAGCACTCTCCAGGCCTGGTGGGACTTACCTGAAGCTTACAGTAGGTCTGGGGGAGAGCCACAGCGGGGGTTACAATGTGATTTGAGGGATCTCAATACCTGCTCCTCAGATCCATTTTTGGCCACCATGTTCCCCTAAAACATAACTCCCCCACAGTTGCTGGAGGCAGAGGCAGAGGCCCTCCACCTGGCTGCCCACTAACCTATTAACCCCAAATAACCACTCTGCACACCAGCTGATGTCGAGAGAACATTTATCCCACTCAGTCACCTCTGGCAGGTGTCCGCGACCTACAGAAATACCCAGCCTGAGCGACCACTTCTGTGCATGTTCACGGCCATGTGAGGAGGTCCCTCTAGCTCCCACTGCCCCTAGTAGGGAAAGACCTGAGGCCTCTGATGCCCAGTATTGACCCAGGGGAGCCAGCCACAGCTGTTAAATGTACCCACTAGTTACCTCACATCTCCTGTCCCCTTGCACACCTCCCAGGACCGGCTACCCCACAACCTCCAGCACTTGACCCATTAGTCAGTCGACAAGTGTTTCCTGAGAGTTATGAACCCAGCCCTGTGCTAGACCCAGTTGGGGTTCAAGAAGACATGACAGTCCCTTGCCCTCATGGAGCTCACAGTCTAGTTGGGAATCAAGACAGACAGACAGACACACACACACACACACACACAGAAGAAACTGGAGCATAAGATAACTTAACACATACTCGAGGGGGAGGGGAAGATGGTATGTTAACACTATGTGGAGAAGGAAAGAGGGCTAAGCATGGTGGAGAGAAAAGGGGACATTTCGGAACAATACAGGGGCAGAAACAGAGGTAGGAAAGAGCACACAGCACAATCACAGGCAGAGATGACACAGGCTGGACAGTTAGCAGAGAGGTGTGTTGCTAAGGTTTCCTCTAGGTTGGCCAAGGTTTCCAAGAGCAGTAGCTCCCAGGGCACAGAGTGCCTTCTCTCCCTGATAGCCCCAGAGCATTCTGCTCTGGCCCCCAGGGTGTGGCATATGGTCGGTGGTCAGTAAGAATCTATGGGCCAAACTGCACTGAAGACAGGACAAACAACACCCTAGGACAGGCAGGCATTGACGTCCTGACTAAAACCCATCTCGGCCCCTGCTGGTCTCACCTCTTCTCATGGCCGTTCATGCTAGGGCAGCAGTTGAACACCTGTAGGCTCCAGGCTGATTGCTCAGATGCAAAGTTGGGAGGAGCCCCTACCCTGCTGCCAGCCTGGCCCCGGCACACTCCATTCACTCTGCTACATGCAGGGAGCACACAGAAAGCTCCTGCGCTAGGCCAACCCCCTGCCCAGAGCCACAGCACCTAGAGCAAGGCTCTTTCCTCCTCCCCTACAGTGCTCCACAGGGGCTGAACGCCTGCTAGGACAGGAGGCACTGCTATCTGGGCTTGGTTGGAGGAAGCAGGGTTCCTTATCCCTGGGGCAAACTCGAACCACACTCTCAGCCCCAGCACCACACATGGCAGCCCTGCTCCCCTCGGGACCTCACAGAGAAATCAGAGCCCAGACTGAGTGAAGGACTCCTCTGTGAAAACCAGCAGCCAGTTAAGGAGAAGAAGAAACACAAAACCAGAAGAGTGAACCCAGCACAAAGGAAACTTCACCAGCCTCTGGGGAAGGTAAATTAGGGTCCAGCCCCCAATATGTCATTTCTTAGGTCTGGGAGAAGGGACTGGCTAAAATAGCCCCCTCCTCAGAATTCATTGCTCCTGGACAAGAGAAGGAGGCCAGGCAGGAGAAGAGGGACATGACTTGTACAGTGGCCACAACTTAGGGCTCTGTGAGTGGCAGGGAAGGAAACACCAGCAGGGGAAGCCCCCAGGGCTGAGGTTCTGAGCCTGGAGACAGAGGACAGGTTTCATCCAGGGAGTCCAAGGGCTCCTGAAATTGCTTGGGATTTCTGAATCTACATGAGTGTATCTGTTTTCCTGGGGGGCAGCTCCATAAGCATCAGATTTCCAAAAGACTTCATGAACCAAACTGTTAAGAACCACCACTCAGAAAGGAAAACAAAGACTAGGTATCATTTACATCTGGGACAAAGTTTTGCCTTTAGAGCCAGGACTGCCACTGACTTGCTATGTTACTTCGGTTCCAGTCTCTGAACTTCAGCCAAGTGGTGGGCAGGTGGGAGCAGAGAAGCCAGCTCTCCATACTGGCATCATCCATGCCACCAAGGATAATTGAGACCCACAGCCAGAACAAGGTCTTCCCTGGCTATGACTCTCACCAGGCTGGCAAGTTCGTCCACCAGGCTTGGAATCTGCCTCCAATTCCAGGCTCCATCTTGTCACTTCCACAGGTCACTGCAGGGTACTTCCGAAGGCAGGTCTGCTTAGGGATGTGTCCTCATGCCAGGGTATGGTGCCAGCCAGCCCCCCATGACACCCCCTGGGTCTTTGTGCCGAGATGTGCCCTGCACCTTCTGAGTCATAAGATCCTTCCCACTCTGCATCTGTTCACAGAAACAAAGACGAAACCAGGGTCAGATCTGAGGCCATGACATGGCTCTGCCCAGCTACCCCTCTGGGACTTGGAGGGAGCAATCAGCCAGCCTCTTGGCCCCTATCAAGCACTGCAAGGATTATGAGTCATATAACAGATGAGATATCATGGGCTTAGGGCATTTTGGTGACTGGCTCCAGATGTCCCCAGTCCCTATTTAGCCTCTTAATCTCTGCCACCAAGAATTAGTCCAATTGCCACCTGGGGGTGGCAAGGCACAGCCAATCTCAGATGAGCCACATAGCACCAAGCAAGGGCAGAGGGACAGGGGGAGGGGACTGCATGCAGAACAGACCTCTGGCAGTGCAAGTCCTCTTGAAGCCCCAACTTCCTTCCTCCCAAACCACATCCACACTTGCACTGTCACCTCTGCCAGGCTCGTAAAGCACAACCCCAAGCCTATTCAGAAATCCAGCACCATTTTCCCTTTTTATCAGTGGAGCTAAAGGGTTCCAGGATACAGAATCCATGACAAAGCCCAGGCTTCCACCTGCTTCCATCAACTGTACCACAAAGTACTGCAATCTGAGGCAAGCCCCGGCAAGCCATCCCTCATCTCCCAGATAGCTGCAGAATGTGCACCTCAGAGCTCGAGCTTGTAAGCCAAAGTACAGGGGCAAGTTCTAGCTCTCCCCTTTCTCACTGCATGACCTTGCTCAAGCCTCTGGGCTGGGGTCTCATGTTCTCTTGGCCAGATGACCCCAAGACCCCAAGGCTCTAGCTCTACCCCCCTTACATCTGTCACCTCAGGACCTCTGGTCCAGTGATCCAGATTCCAAAACAAAGTCCAGCACCGAGGTCACATGCTCTTCTCAGTAAAAATCTCAGGCAGCCTCTCCCTACCCCAAAATCCTCTATGAGGCCAATTCCAGCCTCCACTGACAGACCCCCACCAGAAAACATCCTTTCACACACATTTTCTTCCTACAGTAATTCTACTTGTCCCCATCACCTGGTTCAAAACCATCAAAGTCCCCAAGGGAATGTGGAGAAACCAACCTTCCTCACTCTTGTCCCAGAGCACAAGGTGGTGCCTGACCACACCCTGAATCACCCTGCATGGGCACTAGTCATGTGCAGTGTGACCACTGAGGGGCAGGACCTGTGGTCCTCATCTGTGCCTCGTCTGGAGAGCCTGATGCAGCACAGTGTGGCACCCAGAGGCGCTGAACTAAAGCTCTGTAAACCAGTAACCTCACTGTATCTTGTTGCAGCAATTAACAATCCTCAGTGTCCCAGAGAGGAGTCCCTCAGGGATAGTCTCAACTTACAGATGAACAAACTGAGATATGAAGTGAAATGACTTCTCAAGGATACCAGAGAGTATACGCAAGAGCAAGGAGGCCAGGAGGCTGAGGCTGGGTCTGGGGAACATGGGAGATGGCCCTCTCTGAGCTGCTTCAACTCTGACATTCAGGGAATGAAGATCTGGTAAGCCTACCACTGGTAGCACCAGTTGCCTCACCAGCCCTACCACCCCCAACTGACATCAAGAATCAACACCCCCCAAGCCTGAGAGTAGCCCTGGCCAGACCCACAGGTCTCACCTGCTCTAGGCCGGATGAACCCGAGGAGGAAAACCAAGGCAGGGGACCAAAGTAGCCACATACAGCCACTTGGAGGGTTCTGAGGAAGGAACGGAAGGCGGCGGCCTGAGCCTGCTGGCCCACACCTTCAACACCCCAAGCCAGCCCTCTCCCGCTCCCAGGATCCCATTCGGAGTGGGGGCTGTAGCCCAGTGCCATCCCCAGGTGTCCGGGATGCATCTGCGTGGCAGGAAGCAGCCGTCTGCCGTGGGCCCCAAGTGCATCATAGCACGCGGCCTACGTGGGCCGCCTGGCTCTCGGGCCCGTGGCCGTGGCTGCGCTGATGGGTCTTGAGCGAGCCCTCCCGCGCGAAGCTCTTGCCGCAGCGGGGGCAGAAGTAGGGCCGCCTCTCCCCAAAGACGCCAGGACGGCGCGGGTGCGGCGCGGGCATGCGCGCGTGGGTACGCTGGTGGTTGAGCAGGAAGCGTGGCTCGCGGAAGCAGCGGCCGCACTGCGCGCACTGGTGCGGCTTCTCGCCGCTGTGGATGCGCTGGTGCGTGAGCAGGTTCTGCTTTAGGCTGAAGCAGCGGCCGCAGTCGGGGCAGGGGAAGGGCCGCTCCCCAGTGTGTGTGCGCTGGTGCACCTCGAGGTTGTGCTTGACGCTGAAGGCCTTGCCGCACTCGGGACACACAAAGGCAGCTGTGCGGCCTGCGCCAGCGTGCGCCTTCTGGTGCCGCACCAGGCTAGGCTGCTGGGAGAAGGTCTGGCCACACAGCGGGCACCGGTGGGGCTGCTCCTCTGCAGGGTGGTGGATGACCAGGCCTCTTTCGTCTCCTAAACCTTCCTCCCCGTCCCCCACAGGGGACCCACCCCCGGAGGACGCCAGCTCGGTCATGGGCAATTCCAGCAGCAATTAGCGGTCCCTGGAGATGCAAAAGCAGAAAAAGGGATTAGGAGCACCCGAGGGTCAGCCAGCCCCCAGCCGGGCTGGGAACACTCACCTCCCAAAACCTCTAGCATTCGTCTCTCTATAGTTGTGTTCAAGCCAAAGTTCCCCTGCTAGAAGCTATTGTCTTTTCTCGGCTACCTCTTAATCACAGCCCACCCTCTACCCAGGCCATTCTCAAGAGCCACCTCTTCCTAGAAGCCATCCCTGATCCCTCCAGCCCATCCTTAAACCATATAACACAACCCTGTAACCCTCACTCATCACACTGCATGAGGGTCAGTCATCCCACCTCTTTCCCCTGCCCCCCAGCACCTTAAGGACAGAGCTGCCGTCTTTTAATCCCTGCACCAAGCATTGTATCTGCCACACAAGACACTGAATAAATGCTGGTGGGTGATATACCAGGGACTTCTGGTATTTTCTTATCCTTCACCTGGATATGTCTTATCTCTCCAAACTGATTCTCAAGGAGGTGGGTAAGGGGATAGGAAAGGAGGTGCACCCCAAACCTCACTGGTGGTCTAAAGATTTTTGCAAAGCTTAAAACAAGAAACAAAAACAAAACGCTGTAAACTTAAAAGTGACCCCAGCTAAACATTAAAGGCAGCAGTTCTTTGTTTATCAAAATGAGACATGCAGCATGCGGTTTCAAAGATTTGCAAGTCACTAAATCAGGGTGTAAGCTCCCACAAGCAGGCCCCCACTTGATTCCTCTTAGTTGTCTCCACAGAAAAGTGGCTCAAGTCTGAGCAACACAGTGCTCAGCAAACATCCTCAGATCCCGCTCCCTTCATGCTGGACATTGTGTTCCTCTTAAATTATTTCCCACTGCCCTCACAACAGCCCCAAGAAAAGGGCCAATCATGGTTACTGAGCCCTACTTTACAGCTGGGGAAACTAAGGTTCAGGGAGGCCAACATACCTGCCCAAGGTCACACAGCAAGGTGAGACCAAACTAGGCCCTAAGTCTCCTGATACTCTGTTGAAAGCTCTTTTCAATAGCTGCTCCACAACTAAATACCCTCAAACATACACACAAAGACCACCACCTGGCCATCCAAGAGCCATCTGTTCCAAAGGGCCACTTCTCCTCTAAGAAAGAGCACTACTAACTCCACCACTACCTCCATGTCTCCCCAAAACATGGGCTCCTGCTCCTGCAGGGCACTGAGGCCTGCTCCATCCATTCTCTTTCCCCTTCCCCCCATCAGGGAAGCTTGCTTATTCTTCCCATGACCTCCCCTAAGGCCTTCCCCACACTTCAGACTCAACCTACCTGCAGAGTGGTATCTCAAATACACCTCCTCTGTCCTCCCTTACCCTTAGGCCAAGGTGGAACTGACACCTTGGGAAAGTGGAAAAGTACCACTTTTGCAATAGGCCCCACAAATCTTTCCCCAGACAGCTGCACTGTACCCTTGGCCAATCTCACCTGGCCCTGTCAGTGGGCAGCCTCCCCTCTCTACCCAGCTAAAACCCTGACCAAAACCCTGCCCACATGCGGAGAGGTCCAAAGACATGGCCCCTGTCTCTTCCTCAAGTTCCTCCATCCCGTGTCACATTCACAGACCGGGCTGTGCCCCTGCTTCTCCGTCTCCCGCAACGGCTCTTTCCTCTGGAGTCTACACAAATACGGTAACCCTCCCGCGGCCACTCCCGCGCCCCTCTCCCCCGCCCCCATAAAGACGGCAAACCTCCTGCAAACGTTGCTCTTATCAAATAGCTGCATTAGCCGAAAGAGCTGACCCCACCCCACCCGACCTCACGCACAATCTTGCCCACTTCTGGGCCAGCGCAACCCTGGAGAAATATGGTAAACTCTGCGTCGCAACCCCACCCCCCATGAAAACACGTAGGCCTCCTCTCTGCTGCCGCAACCCACCCCGCCGAGCTGCAAGCCCCAGCTCCGCCGGGAAGGATGAAGGCAACCCACCCCCTGCGCCCACAGCGCCCCCCGAGAAACGACGTAATCCTGGATAAATACATAATTTAGTCTCGCGTTCCTACTCCCAGAAACGACCTGCGCGGCCCCCGGTAAATACGGTAGCGCGCCTGCAGTGACCCGCCCCCAGGGTCCCGGCGCTGGCCTCGATAAATACGGTAACCTCCAGTGGTGGCCCCAGCCACGCGCAGCGCGGGACTCACATGGCGCCGCCTCCTGGTCTCTCTGTCTCCTCCGCAGCACCCCAGTCGCCAACGTCGCCGCAGCCGCACAGCAACCCCGTGAGGTTGGGAGGTCTAACTCGCCAACAACCTGGTTGGTGGAAAAAGGAGAACGGCGAGCGCTGCGCCCGCCGGGGATGGAGAAGGCGCCAGGCGAGGGCCGGTTCCAGGGACAGAACTCCCCGCCGGGTGGGTCACCCCAAGTCTCTCGGTCCGTTGCCCAGGCATTCCCCCGTTTGGAATTCCTCGAGGCCCAAATTCGGCCGTTAGAGCATCCTCCTTCTCTCCCTCATCCCAAGGCAGGGATAGCCTGGCCAGGCCTACAAACTGCCCCCAACGACTAGGAAGCGGGTGCAGGAGTACCACGCCTTTTCCTGAGTGAGAGAGAGGAGGGGGCAAGCGCACTAGCCGGCAGAGCTTTTCTGAGCGTGGGTTTTATGGGTGACATCAGTCCAAGGGGCAGAATCAGAGCTGCCCTGGCAAACGGTTTTGCCAGCACCCACCATGCTGTGTGGCCTGGGTTGTATCACTAGATGACTAGGGGGAACAGAAGAAAAGACATGAGGGCCCTGCTGACCAGCATATACTCGAGTCGAAGAGACATCCACCATCATAGCCGCCCCACCAAGGGAGCTGTTTATGACGCCCAAGCAGCCCATGTCAGAGGGCGGAGTTAAATTGGTCTCCAGCTGTGGCTAATGACACCCTTTACCCAGAGGAAACTTTGCTTTTTACAAAGCCCTTTCCTGTATATGATCTCATGGGAACCTTCCAATTACCACAAGCAGTCAGGCTGTGTGGGTATTATTATCCCATTTTATAGGTGGGAAAATAAAATTGAAACACAGAAAGACGGTGGGTCCCCTGAGACCCACAGTGCTAATAAGCGGCAGAGTCCAAGTGGGAACCCACGTCCCCTGACTCAGCTCGCATTCCTCACACCATCCTGGAACACAAACAGGTTGTGATGATAGTGATCAGAAGGAATAACCTGGGCCCGGTGAAAAAGGGGCTCCTTTGACAGATAAACTGAGACCTAAAAAGAAAATTTGCAAGCGCTCCAGAAACACTAAAAAGGCTTTTTCTCTGCAGCTCGGTCAGTGGAGGGCTTCCCCAAGGCCAAGGTGGGGCTCCTGGAGTGGAGTTATCCCTGAGGGTGGGCTTTGGGAGGCACAAGCCTCAGCACGGTGAAGTCCCCCAAGAAGCCCTGCAGACATCCTGTTCATGAGCCTTTTGAAGGCTGGGAACTGAACAATTGCAGGCAGAGCCCCCAGGCAATGAAATCAGGCCCTGGCTCCCCACCCCAGGCCTGGAGGTTGGACCTGCTTGCTTACACAGCTCATTGGGAGGACTAGTCTGTTTCAGCCTCCTGAGAACCTCCCTCTACCCCTAACCAGGCAGTTCCTGGAGCACTTTGCTGAGGGATGTGGGACTTTATGAGTCAGACATCCCAAGGAGACTGGTATTTTTAAGCCTCAGATATTGATCTAAACAGTTAGAAAATACTGGGAAAAGGAATGAGTCCACCAGGACAGTTCACCTTAGGGCCCAGCTTAGAGTTTCCATGGCATTGACACCAGGACCTCCTGATCACTGATGACAACCCACATAACCCACTCCTAGCTCTCCAACTCGTTGCAAAAGCCATTACTTGCCAGAATGACCAGTTTTCATCTCTCCTGCAAACTACAAAAGAAATGAGGACATTTAGTGAAACCCAGGTCTTTCAAAAGCAAAATCAGTAATATATCTGGGGGTGTTGCCCATATTTTTAGCAGCATTTTCTAGGTAAGCTATGCCAAAATAGAAAGGAAGAAAATGAGAGACCACAGATAGGCCTGGGCTAGAGGCAGATAACAGCACTAAAACTTGCCCTGTCTTAGTGGGGAAGGCTGAGGGCCAAGGTGTCACTTTGCTCTTCTAGTTTCATATACATACACCCCCATCTCACCTAGGCACCCCCATCCCTTTCTCATGTGTGGTGAACACAACAGAATGACAATGTGGAAACACCCTGCAAATACAGCTATGCTTCTTCCTACAGGAAGGGCAGTAACTGGCATGATGATCACCACTCTCCTGTGAGGTCCATGTGGCAGCTGGCCTCTGGGCCCTAACAAACGCCTGGACTGCCCACAGCCAAAGCATCTCAGAAAATAGGTGGCCATGGCTCCTGCATGGGAAAAAGAGGACACAGGTTGGCTGAACTCTGCACAATATTTACCAGGGTGCACACCAGATAGACACAGACCAGCCATGGGCCTCCCTTGGGCAGCTCTAGCCTGCTGCTTTTGCCATCCTCCAGCTCCTCCTGTGGGCTTCCTCCTTGCAGCTGGCCAACAACCTCCCACTTGACAAGCTCCTCCCGTCCCCCCAGGACTGGATACCTCCATGTGTTGACCTCAAATTTGGAATTTAGCCCACTTTTCCTCACCAGGTTATGAATTTCAAAGGGCAGGGACTGTTTTTAGCCTCTCTCTATCCCAAATGTCCAGCCTATAATAGGTCCTCAGTCAGTGTCTTGGATGAAAGGATGAATGCTTGTCTGCAAACTACATCTGATAGCTAGGGCAGCAGTGGAGGAAAGATGGACCTAAGGTCAGCCTGTGTGCTAATACAATGTAAGGGATTAAGGGCTGCAGGCAAAGCTTCAGCCCCAGCCACAACTTGGAGGACTGAGAGGCACCACACAGACATGGGTGAGGATCTGGGTGCAAGGTCTTATCTGCTCCAATGTTCTCTTTTCTTGGGATTAAAACTCAGGATGTGACCTATGACATCAATTCAGCCAAACCTTTAAACATGTGGCAGTCCTACTTAACCCTCAGGATGGTTCATTCTTTGCAGAGATTAAACCAAATGGGAGGGTGGTGCCTGTGGCTCAAGGAGCAGGGCACTGGCCCCATACACTGGGGGTGGTGAGTTCGAACCTGGCCCCAGCCAAAAACTGAAAAAAAACACCAAATGGGAAAACCTTTCTATCTCCTCCCATAGACATAGATGCTCTGTGACCAACCATACACCCAGTTTAGTAAAATTATGATAGCTACCCTTAATTGAGTGCTTTTCTGTGCCAGGCACTATACCATATGCTTTACACAGGTTCCTAGCCTAAGGACCTGGAGTGTTTTTTTTGTTGTTGTTGTTGTTTTTGAGACAGAGTCTCACTATGTCACCCTCAGTGGAGTGCTGTGACATCACAGCTCACAGTAACCTCAAACTCTGGGCTTGAGCGATTCCCTTGCCTCAGCCTCCCGAGTAGCTAGGACTATAGGTGCCTGCCACAACACCAGGCTATTTTTTGGTTGCAATTGTAATTGTTGTTTAGCAGGCCTGGGCAGGGCTGGAAACCTCCAGCTTTGATGTATGTGGCTGGCGTCCTACTCATTGAGCTATGGGTGCTGAGCCAGCAAAGCCAAAATTTAATCCCCAAACTATCTGGTTCATTCTAGATACATAGGGGAGAGGGAAAAACAATGTCTAAACCTCTTGTCAATAGGAACAGCATTATTTCTAGAGCTGTACTATCCAAGAGTCATAGTTGACTACTTAATTAAAGGTTAAAATTCAGCTCCTCAGCCATACCGGCCACGTTTTAAGTGTTCCGTAGCCACATATGGCCAGTGGCTATGGTATTGGACAGCACAGATATGGAACACTATCATCATCACAATAAATCCTGTTGGCAGTGCTAGCCTAGGACACCTTCCCCTCCAAATCTGAGCAACCCAACAGATGCTACTGTCTTTTTAGCCTAAGGGATAACTTAAGGGGTGCCATTCCTTTCTCCCTCTTCACTGCCCCTCCCTGATCCAGGAGCACCAGGGATATGTGGCAGCATACTCTTTTTGACCCTAACACTCCTCCTCCTGCCAAGGATAATTCTTTACCAAACTCAAACCAGCTTTAAAAAGTAAAAGGAGCCAGACAGTGTGGCTCACAGCTATAATCTAACACTCTGGGAGGCCAAGGCAGGAGGTTTCCTTGAAGCCAAGAATTAGAGACCAGCCTGAGCAAGACTGAAACCCCTTCACTATTAAAAATAGAAAAATTGGCTGGGCATAGTAGCAGGCACCTATAGTCCCAGCTCCTCAAGAGGCTGAGGCAGGAGAATGGCTTATGGCCAAGAGTATGAGGTTGCAGTGAGCTATGATGATGCCACTGCACTCTAGCCTGGGTGAAAGAGCTAGACTCTGTCTCTGATAAAAATCAAAAAAGGGGTAGTGCCTCTGGCTCAGTGGGTAGGGCACCAGCCCCATATATTGGTGGTGGGTTCGAACCCAGCCCCAGCCAAACTGCAACAAAAAAATAGCTGGGTGTTGTGGCAGACACCTGTAGTCCCAACTACTCAGGAGGCTGAGGCAAGAGAATTGCCTAAGCCCAGGAGTTGGAGGTTGCTGTAAGCTATGATGCCATGTCCCTAAAGTAAGACTCTGTCTCTTAAAAAAAAGGTTTCAGATGCGTCCCCCACTCCTGCCAAGTCCCAGTTAGGCCTGCTTTCTCCCTTGGCCAGTACACTGGTGTCTGCTCAGCAGCCACCTCTCTGTGCAGCTGTGCCCAGCAAGTCCTGGGGCTGGGCACTGGGACACCAAAGCTACCCAAGGAGGTAGGCCACCTTGCCAACCAGCTTGAAGTTCACGTTGCTTGTCAAAGGACAACCGTTTCCTGAGTACTGGAGTCATTTTTCCTAGCCGCAACCTGCACCTTACAAAGGTACACAAGGATGGTGCAGAAGTTCCAGGAGCCCCCGCTCCACCAAGCCCACATGGCCTGCTGTAAGCTTTGCCACACCCCACTGCAGACCACCACTTACCTGGCCATGGACAGGATATATATCCTCTAAGATCTTGATTTGTTCATGGTTGCTTTTTGTTCCATTACACAACCACCAACCAACAATCTCAGCATGCTCTAGAGCAGTGGTTCTCAACCTTCTTAATGCCACCGCCCTTTAATACAGTTCCTGTGGGTCACAACCCACAGGTTGAGAACTGCTGCTCTAGAATATTTGGGATTGTAAAACACAAGGGTAAGACTGACTTTCTTGTTGATTTTATGAAATGCCTCTTTCTAAATAGTCTCTGACCCAGTTTTATCTTTATCTTTTTTGAGAGTCTCTCAAGCTGTCACCCTCAGTAGAGTGTCATTGTATCACAGCTCACAGCAACCTCCAACTCTTGGGCTTAAGTGATTCTCTTGCCTCAGCCTCCCAAGTAGCTGGGACTACAGGTGCCCATCACAATGCCCGGCTATTTTTTTGTTGCAGTTGTTGTTGTTGTTGTTGTTTAGCTGGCCCAGGCCAAGGTCAAACCCTCCAGCCTTGGTGTATGTGGCCAGCGCTGTAACCACTATGCACAGTCGCTGCGCCTGACCCAGTTTTATCATTTTAAAATGAAAGGAAATGAAAATTAAGTTGATGCCACATAACCTTGGAGAAACCTGTGATTGTGACAATAGAAGCAGCTTGGACTAATAGGAGGCCTGGGACCTGCTGTCAATTTGCAACCTGACCTGGTGGACAAGTCACACCGTCTCCGCCCCCCTCCCTGTGTGTCACTGCCCTGCCTAAATCACTGACTCAGGTGAGATTAAATGGGATCACAAGTAAGAAAGCCTTGTTAATGGGCAGCACCTGTGACTCAAGGAGTAGGACCCATATACTGGAGGTGGTGGGTTCAAACCCAGCCCTGGCCAAAAACTACAACAACAACAACAAAAAAAAAAAAGAAAAGAAAGAAAAAGAAGAAGAAAAGAAAGTCTTGTTAAGAGACTGGGCCTGGGAACAATCTGTTTAAGAGTTGACCATACAGATGGTTCCAAGCCATGTGTTATCAAAATGATTTTCCATGAAGGTCCTTAAAGGTCCTACAGAGTAGGGACTGTGTCTTAGTCGTCAGAGCACCCAAAAGTCTAGCACACAGTAGGCTCATTTAGTGAACTAGTGATGTGGAGTCCCCTGACCTGGTCAATGGAGCATATACCTCAGTAATTCTTCACCCTGAAGAATTTGACCCCATCTGCCTTGTGACCCAAAGCACCCATTTAAAGGAGGCCCAGTCACCTGGAGTCAGTTAACAGGCATGCTCACAGATTTGCACAGGGGAAAAAAGTGCAATTAGGCCTCCTTAACCCCAAGTCCTACCAACACAGCTGTCAGATTGATTTTATCATTAAACACAGGACATGTAAAGAAGATAACACATTCTATCATAAAGACACACTGCAGGCTCGGCGCCTATAGCTCAACCGGCTAAGACGCCAGCCACGTACACCTAAGGTGGTGGGTTCGAATCCCCAGCCCGGACCCGCCAAACAACAATGATGGCTGCAACCAAAAAATAGCCGGGCGTTGTGGCGGGCGCCTGTAGTCCCAGCTACTTGGGAGGCTGAGGCAGGAGACTTGCTTGAGCCCAGGAGTTGGAGGTTGCTGTGAGCTGTAATGCCACGGCACTCTACCCAGGGGGACAGCTTGAGGCTCTGTCTCAAAAAAAAAAAAAAAAAAAAAAGACACACTGCAGGGCTAGCTCTCGTGTCTGCCTGCACTACCTCCTCAACCACCTGATTCTAAATATCCAGAGTTTCTGCAGGACCATGCAGGCAGTAGCTAACCCAGGAATGAAGGATAGTACTCAGGGATGTCCTTGTGGGGCAGGTGGGCTTGCTCAGGTTGATTTCAGGATTTGCTAAGTGACAAAAGGAAAGAAGCAAATAACTCCTAAGCTCCCCCTTTGGTTAAAGTAGATTCTGATGAGATGCAGGGCAGGCTGGGGGAGTAGCCCCAGGACAGAGGCAGGCACCAGAGATTACAGCACAGGGCAGGTGTGGGGCAGAGATAGTGCCCAGGAAAACCCTTCTGGTTTGGTTTTCTGCTGATCCTAAGAGTTGAGTCCCCCAGTGAGTGCAATGACTCCAGCACACCTCACCCAGCGTGAGATGTCACACCACAAGGTTTGTGGTCCAAGAACTGGACCAGGAATTAGTGCTAGCCCAGTCAGGTGATGGTCCTTCTTATCCTCCCTAGCACCTTCATGTCTTTGTGTGATGCTACAACAACTAGAGCTTCCCAGATAAGGAGGATTAAGTAAGATCTGAAGAGTGACCAGAAGCCAGACTAAACTGCAGCAGTTCTGGAGAAGGTGGCATTTCTCATGTTCAGAAAAGGATCTGGGCCCCTCCGGGGATAGACAGATGCAGTTCCCCCCCTTTCTTCCTCCCACCTCCCAGCTATCCAACCCTGGCACCCCAATACCCACCTTTTCCCTCTGCCACTTCTCCCCCCTCTGGGAAGATACAGCCTGGGCTGCAACCCTGGGTTCCTCTGCAGGACCAGGGCCTCAACCAACCCTTCTTTGGAAGGGAATGAGGGGTAACCCCTTGGGGGCAAGAGGCAGAGTACTGTATATGGGAGGACACATAAAACTAACTTGAAGGAAAGGAGAAGAGAGAAAACTGCTCTCCACTTCAGGCAAGAACTGGGGATGGGGAGAAGCTGTGTTCATGGCAAAAAGCTCCCTGCACTGGGCCCCGGGCAAATAGATTCTTTAGCACACACACACATACCCTTGCCTTAGCAATGGTTGGCTCAGAGAGGACAATGAGACCACACAGAATATCCAATCCTTCATTTTCTCTTCTGCAACATGGAGATTGAAAGGCTCCAAGTCCATAAAGTCAGCCAAGCCACTCTGGGCACACCCTGGACCACAATAGGAGCAGCACATCTGGCTCTGCCACCCAGCTCCCTCCCAAGCAACCAAACCTCAGCTAAGCCCATCCCACCCCTGCCCATCACACCACACACACATTTCTGGGGTTATCCTGCCATACCCAGCACTGTGGGCAGCAGAGCACTCAGGTTGGAGAACATCCAACCACTCCAGAAATACTGAATGGCCACTAAGCGCCAGCACTGGCCTTGGTGCTGGGGACATACTTGCCCTTCCCTAGCCGCAGTCTCTGGCTCCATCCTTAGTGTCAGTGAGTCTGCTGAGATTTTCCCACAGGGGTGGCTTCCTGGCCATCCTTCAGCCTAAGTGTGACAGCCTGGTGTTATGGCTGACCAGTCCAGACCTGGGCAACTTCATACTCTCCCCCTACTCCAGGCTTGAGGCCTGGGGTCTAACCTCTGAAAAGGTACACAGACGGCCCCCAGCCCATCTCCGACAACTTCAGGCTCTGGGGTGAGGAACGTCACTATTACCTCCTCCCTCCACACACCCTAGGACCTTTACCCAGCACCCTTTGGGATGCTTCTGGAACTCTGTTCTTGGTTTTACCGCAGGGGTTTCTAAGAGCCAGCACTCCTGGTCGCCCCTATTCCCCAGGCGCTCACCCGCAAACCTTGCCCTGCCTCCACCACGGGTCTGCTCAACCCCAGTCCACTAGAGTGCCTCCTCCTTGGGGCTGGGTGCCAGGCCTCCGCGGTGAACGCGCTGGTGCTTGAGCAGGTGTTGCTTTTGGCGGAAGCCGCGGCCGCAGGCTGCACACAGGTATGGCCGCTCGCCAGTGTGGTTGCGCCGGTGCCGCGTGAGGTTGGGCTTCTGGCTGAAACGGCGGCCACACTCGGGGCACGCATAGGGCCGCTCACCAGTGTGGATGCGCTGGTGGATGGTGAGCGCCGACCACCACGAGAAGCTCTTCCCACACTCGTTGCAGATGAACTGACGTGGCTCGCCAGCCTCCGCCAAGCCCGTGCGCCCTCGACTCCACAGCGCTTTGCCGGCTCCTCCGGGCCGCTGGGGGCTGCGCGGTCTAGCGGCTGAGCCCGGGGACCGCCCAGACTGCGGGTCGGGACTTGGCTCCCGGTACTGCGCAGAGGACCCGGGGCGCAGCAGCTCGGCGGCGACGTGCGCGCGCTGGTGGGCTCGAAGCGCTGAGCGGCTGGGGCAGCTCTTCCCACAGCGGGGGCAGGGCGCGGCGGGCGCGGCCGGCAGGTGCGTGCGCAGGTGCTTCAGCAGGTGCTGCTTCTGGCGGAAGCCGCGGCCGCAGTGCAGGCACGGGTGCGGGCGCTCGCCCGTGTGGTTGCGCAGGTGCCGCGTGAGGTTGGGCTTCTGGCTGAAGCGGCGGCCGCACTCGGGGCACGCGTAGGGCCGCTCGCCTGTGTGGATGCGCTGGTGGATATTCAGCGACGACCACCAGGTGAAGCTCTTGCCGCACTCGTTGCAGATGAACTGACGCTGTTCTCCCGGCCCCGAAGGGCCGGGTTCTGCGGTCCGGACGCCAGGCTGGCCCCACCAGCCTTGGCAGAGCCCCAGCCAAGCCCACTCGGGGCGCCCCCGCGGCGGCGGCGGCGGCAGCGCCGACCGCAGGCGACAGGCCCGGCTTGCCGCTGCGTCCCGGAGCAGCTCGTGCAGGCCGGTGCGGGCGCCCAGGCGATCCCGAGCGTGCGCCCGCTGGTGGATGCGGAGGCCCACCTGGTGGCGGAAGCAGCGCTCGCACTCGGGGCACGAGTGGGTGGCGGGCCGGGAGTGTGTCTTCTGGTGCTTGAGCAGATGCTGCTTCTGGCTGAAGCGCCTCGCGCACTCAGGGCAGCAGAAGGGTCGCTCTCCTGTGTGGTGCCGCTGGTGGCGCGCCAGGTTGGGCTTCTGGCTGAAGCTTTTGCCGCACTTACCACAGAGGTACGGCTTCTCCCCTGTGTGAGTGCGCTGGTGGATCTTCAGGGATGACCACCAGCTGAACCGCTTCCCGCAGTCCAGGCACACAAAGTGACCCTCACTGACAGAAAGCGCAGGGCTCAGGGTGCCGGGAGCTGCCCCAGGAGCCTGGCCTGCCAGCCCCTCATCCTGCTCCGTGGAAGGGGTCCACCGCGTACCCCCAGCCTCCTCTTGTCCCCCGAGAGCTCGAGGTCTCCCCATCGTCTGGCATTGTGGGAAGGCCCGATGCTGCTGGAAAATGTTCTCCTTATCCTTCTCGGAAAGCACAGCCTGCGGCACTAGCGTCTGCAGCAGCCACTCTGGTTTCTCCTGCTTGATCTTCATCACCAGCCCATCTCCTGCTGGAGGCAAACATGAGAGGGTGGGAAGAGGTCACTCGCTGTTATGCTGGATGGATGGGGACAAGGAAGGGAGCAAGGGAAGGGGGGTGGAAGGCAGAGAAAAGCTAAAAATATGTAGAGAACCCCAACGGGAAAGATATTAAAACAGAAGAAAACAGAAACAGGGGCAAGAGAAAAGAGTAGGAAAAGCAGAAAGGACAATAATACAAGGACAGGTTGAGGAGTGGAGGAAGAAGGAGGGAAAACAAGAATGGGTAGATCAGTGCATCATTTGGGCACCAGGAACATGGGGTCCAACAAGCATGGCCTGGCCTGCCTTCTCAACCAGGCCTGGGAGAGGCAGAGATAGGGGCAGAAACCACTCCAGTGAAATCTTATGACTGAGAGAACAAAGAGAAAATGGCCATGTTTCAAAACATACGATTCTTTTCCTCCAAGGATCAATGTGCTAGGAGCTTCTAAGCAAGGGCATGCCCATCTCTCAGTGGCAAGTGACCGAAACTCCAGGTCACTGTAGCAGCCTTTGCAGTGGCTGAGTCCCCACCCCCACCCCTGCAAGGCAATAGCCATGTGCCCGAACACTTTACCGCTGGGATCTGGATTGTCCGGCAGCCTCGCTCACTTTTCTGGAAACTCAAGAACAAGGAAGGAAACCAAAAAGGCCTCTGCACCCAAAATAGGTGTTTTCTGGTCTTTGTATTAAACCTAATCTAGTTTATCCAGAGAGTCTCACACATACTGCTCCTAAGCTGCACCAGCTCGATACCATGCTCAAAGTCTAAGGAGGCACTTTGTTTTCCTAGCTCATGAACATAAGAAACTATACTGGAAAAGACCTGCTATAGACACATAAGAATATGTATCATGGGCTCGGCGCCTATAGCTTAACCGGCTAAGACGCCAGCCACGTACACCTAAGGTGGCGGGTTCGAATCCCCAGCCTGGACCCGCCAAAACAACAATGATGGCTGCAACCAAAAAATAGCCAGGCGTTGTGGGGGGCGCCTGTGGTCCCAGCTACTTGGGAGGCGGAGGCAGGAGACTCGCTTGAGCCCAGGAGTTGGAGGTTGCTGTGAGCTGTAATGCCACGACACTCTACCCAGGGGGACAGCTTGAGGCTCTGTCGCAAAAAAAAAAAAAAAAAAAAAAAAAAAAAAAAGAATATGTATTATGTATTCCATTTACATGAAAATCAAAAGCTGGCAAAATAACCCATGAGTCAGAGGGCTCTGTGGATGGAAGGCAGAATAGGTTCTTAGATTCTGGCTGTGTTCTCTGTTGATGTGGGTATTGGTGATAGTAAGTGTTCATCTTACACAAATTTATAGAGCTTGTGATCTGTGCATCTTTCTGGTATGTGTGTTGTATTTCAAAAGAACTTTACATGCAATAAAAATCAGGTGGAATAAAACAGTTTTGAACAAAGAAGAGAGAAAATCTCTATACAATAGAAGTCAACATTACAAAGACAACAAAATAAACCCAAAGGTATTAATAAAGATAAAAACAGATCACAGATAGAGCGGCGCCTATGGCTCAAAGGGGGAGGGTGCTGGGCCCGTATGCTGGAGGTAGCCAGTTTAAACCCAGCCCTGGCCAAAAACTGAAAAAAAACAAAAAACAGATCACAGATAAATGGACACATAGATGCGAAAGGATTCTGAAAATCCTAAAATATCTAAAATTAAAATATAGGCTTTATGTCAATAAATCTGAAAATCTATATAAAATATGATTTTTGTGAGAAAACATAAAACTGACCCAAGAGTAGGTAGAAAACCTGACAACATAATCAATTAGAAACAACTGAGAAGAAAACCAATTCTACCTCAAAAATGGGTAACAGGTCACATAACTAAATATACAAGTGCCACTAAAACCTAAGTGGAAGAGAGGGATCCCCAGCTCCAACAAGCCATTACGGTGAGCGGGAGGAAAGAAGTCTGTACCGCCAGCACCACTCCAATATCAAAAAAAGGCAAGAATAGAGGTGGGCAGGAAATTACAGATTCATCATTCTTTGAACATAAACACAAACATGAACAAGGCAAATTTAGTGGTATTAAAATAATAACATGTCATGACCTTGCTGAGATTTTCCCCAGGAAAGCACAGACAGCCCAATATAATTCATAACATTACCTTATTAAAAGTGAAAAACCTCATACTATCTCAGTAGGTATAAGAAAGTCATGATAAAATTCAACATCATTTCTGGAGGGAGGGAGAAAAGAAGGAATATGGAATATACACAAAGTTCATGTACAATTTAAAATAGTATGGCCACCCTATGTTAAGGATTCCTATAGATATGATAAAAAGAGGCTTAACCTCATTAATCATGAACAAAATGTAAAATAATAGTGTAGCATCTTTTATACCCATCATACCAGCAAAAGTGGAAAAGATGGATAACATCCCTATTCCACAATGCACCCAGAAACTAGTGCAGAACAAGTATACATGAGTATTCTGGGGACATTAGTTGGGCCAGACTTTCTGGAGGATGATTTTGACAGTATTTATTAAAATTATAAATGTGGGCTCGGCGCCTGTGGCTCCAGTGGCTAAGGCACCAGCCACATACACCTGAGCTGGTGGGTTCGAATCCAGCCCAGGCCCACCAGACAATGACCACTGCAACCAAAAAATATAGCCGGCTGTTGTGGCAGGCACCTGTAGTCCTAGCTACTTGGGAGACAGAGGCAGGAGAATCGCTTGAGCCTAGGAGTTGGAGGTTGCTATGAGCTGTGATGCCACAGCACAGCTTGAGGCTCTGTCTCAAAAAAATAAAAAATAAAAATAAAAAAATTATAAATGTGTACAGCCTTCTGCCCCTTCCAGCCAGCAATTCCCCTCTAAGTGTTTACCTACCATGTTTTCCCAAAAATAAGACCTACCCAAAAAATAAGCCTAGCAGGATTTCTATGCATTTGTTAAACATAAGCCCCACCCCATAAGACCTTATGATGGGCGTGGCTGTGCAGCGTATCTGCATAGTCATGCCAGGCATTTTGGCGCGGAGAGGAGGACATCCCCTGAAGATAAGCCCTAGTGTATCTTCTTGAGAAAAAGTAAATATAAGATAGTGTCTTATTTTGGGGGAAACGTGGTAAGAAATACTTACATACAAGTGTAAAGATCAACATCCAAGAATATTCACCGAAGTGCTGTTTATACTTAGCAAACAATGGAAAACAACCTAATTACCCACATACTGAATAACAGTTAAAAAATTATCACCCCTTTCATAATATGAAATATTATGCAGCAATTAAAAAGTATGGAAAATAGAGCAGCGCCTGTGGCTCAGTGGGTAGGGGGCCGGTCCCATATATGGAGGGTGGTGAGTTCGAACACGGCTCCAGCCAAACTGCAACAAAAAATAGCAGGGTGTTGTGGCGGACGCCTATAGTCCCAGCTACTCATGAGGCTGAGAAAGGAGAATCGCCTGAGCCCAGGAGTTGGAGGTTGCTGTGAGCTGTGACACCATGGCAATCTACCAAGGGCAATAAGTGAGACTCTGTTTCTTAAAAAAAAAAAAAAAAAGTATGGAAAATAATTATATATATGCAGATGTTAAAAGAGTTCCAAAACATTTTAAGAGAAAACAAAAAGCAAGTTGAAAACAATATGAATTGTCTGATTGAATTTATTTGAAAAAATCTCTCTCATAAATGATCCAGGATGCTTCATGCCAACCTGAGGATGGTGGTGACCTTACAGTCCATCAAGTAGCTGATGGCTGGGGAGGTTGCCCTCTCTAGCAGAAAAGGGATCCAGGCAAATATAAATGACCAGGTTGAGAGGGGGTGAAGTCCAGCACTCATCCCTGGAGCCCTTGAAGTACAGGGACTTCAGGTGTCCCTGGGCACATTCCCTAGGGCCCAGGTATCTACAAAGGAAAACAGGCCTGGTCTTGAATGCAGTCCAGAAATATGGCACTACTACTCCTCTGTCAACATGAAAAGAATGTTTTAGATTATAAATGGTTCAGATAAAATACACAAGAGTAAAATGGGAATTATTGCTTAATGAGTACAGTGTTTCCAGGATGATGAAAACTTCTGGAAACTGATAGTCACACAACATTGTGAATGTACTTAATGTGCTGAATTATATACTTAAAATATTCAAAATAGTACATTTCACGTTATATATATTTTATCATAATAAAGAACACAAAATAAATAAATATTATAAGGTCCTTAAAAGAGGTAAACTGTCAGTTATCTGAAAAATTTGGCCATCCAGAATGAGTCATTCCCTAAGTCACATTAGGGGCCAGCCCAGTCCTCCACATGCCTTTGTACCTCCGGAATCTAAGCCAGTACTTTTCCAGCTCTTCCCTAAAATCACAGGGTTGCTTCAGATGCCATGAGGAAGAAGGAAAAAGGGCCCTAGTAGACTCCATGTCTCAAATCCACCAGAGCCACCTCACTGCTAATTAGCATCCACTTGTGAGTTTATCTGGGGAAAGGGATCCTTCTGCTCAGATGCTGGCCATGGCTCCTCTAGGCTCCACTTGTACTGTCAGGTCCACACCACGGGAAGCTAGAGTGCTCCTGCCTGCCCACCCAACTCCTCAGGGGAAGAGGAGCCAGCACCGTGGCCAAGCACCCTGGAGGGTCCATGTCAGGACCCAGCCCCAGCACAGTGTGCTTGCCACACCTACATCCGTTTCTCTTTGTCTGGTTTTTATCCTAGAGGGAGGTCTACTGAATGATTCCTCTGGAGGGTGGGAAGCCTTCCCCTGGAGGCAATAAGCAGGGCCCCAGGGCCTATGTGGCACTCCTTGGGAAGAGAGAGAGCGGTAAAGAAACCTGAGTCACTCTCTGCTGAGGAGCTGCTCTCAGACACAGCCCCACCTGAGGAGTCCAGAGCCTGTCTGCAGCCCCAGGCACAGGGCCACCAAGGCTTTGGAGGGCTACTCACAGATGCCAGGGGCTGCTCCACCCTGGGCCCAGAACACATGACTGTACAGGAAATTTTCCACTTACAGCAGGTATTTCATCACAACTCGTTCTAAACAGCTTACCTGATAAAGACCCTGAACTTAGCATGACCTCAGGAAGCTTTAATGGACCAAACAGAAGACACTGCCCTGATGGATAAACCACAGGGCTTATTTTAATGAACTGTTCTCTCCAGAGTGCTAGTTTTCCATGCTTGATTAGTATAACCAACATAAACCCTGTTCTAGCACTTAAAAACCACCTCAATTCCTACAAAGTCTGTGAGGGTGTGTGGGGGGGGGTTCCCTCTCCTGGCAAGTTAATCGGCTGGGCTCTGTTGTCATTTGAGCTCCTGTGGCCGTTGTCTTTGTCCCATTCTTTGACATGACCTTCCAAGTCCTAGATACCCTGAAATTCTGCGAATAATGGATTTACCAGCTACTGGCTGAGGGCAGCATGTGGGCCAAAGAGGAGGCACCCTAGCTGGTCCCCACCTGCTCTAGCTTCCCTCTTACCTGCGCTGTCACTGGCCAGGCAGCTCTCCATCCCTAGAGGCCTCCCCAGCATCAGCGTTGGCCAAGTCCTTGCCCTGCCATCTGTGGGTAAGATGGGAAGAAAAAAAAAATGGCCTGTGGGACAAGAATGACAACTGAATTTCACGTCTGCTTCCCATCCCATGGAGCACTGTCTTCTTCAGAGAACTTTGCTAGCCACAGCCTCATTTGAAATATGTGGGGCTTTTTTAATTGCACACATACCTACTGAGCAGGTAGACAGAATTCTCGTTTTACCAAGGGGAAACTGAGGCTGTAGAGATCCCTGACATGCCCAGAGTCAAGGAGATGGCTGATTGGCAAAGCTGGACAAAAACTCAGGTCTTCCAACTCCACACCTTCCGCATCTGTGGCATGGTGTATGCAGGATACCACGCCTAAGAACCCAGGAGCCTCAGAGATCACCTGGGACCAGCTGTGGTCAGGAAGACACCTGGGAGGCAGAGCCACCCTTTGAGAGTTCCTTTTGTGTTCAAACTCTTCCAGGGAGCCTCACAGCCACCCCTCTCCCACAAGAACACACAGAGTCAACCAGGGCACCGGTTAACCCAGCCCTGGTTCACAGACCTGGGACTCATCTTTTAACCCAGCCCTGGTTCACAGACCTGGGACTCATCTTTTGTTTCTGATGCCAAAGTCTCCTGAGCATCTCCTGACTGGCCCACTCCATGCCTGGCAGGGAAAGGGCCATGCTGCTACTGGGACACCCTGCATCTCTGCCCTGCCTGTCCCCTTTGCCCCTAGGTCTCTATCTGACTGTCCCCCTGCTTATGCCAGCTCCCTGCTTAAATGTCACCTTCTTAGTCGTAAGCCTAACTCCCCCTCACATTTCCCCTTAACACCTTTGCCTTTGTGATGTCTACTTGTCTGTTTGCTACCATCACAAGGACAGAAACTCTTTGTGTCTGCTACCAAATCCCCAGCACCTGAACAGTGCTGACAGAGAGAAAGCATCCAACAAACACGTGGGCATACACCTGCACCCTGCTGGGCTTGGAGCTGCCTAAAGGCCCGTCTTACTCACCCTGCTGGTGGGCACTGTCTCTCCTAAGGATAGGGATCTGATCTTACAAGTCTGGGTTTACCCCTTTATCAGAGCAAGGAGGTAAGGCTTGCTGCCCCACAGACAGCTGGACCCCAGAGCTATCAGTAAACTGCTGCCTCGAGGGAGGGAGGGGCTTCTCCAGCACCAGTCAGCCCTTCCTTCCCTGTACCTGCCCTCTACAGCTGCACTCACCCCCCTCAACACCCACCACACCAGGACCTGGCCTTCCGCCTCCCCTCTCCTATGTCCCCATCCAAAGTCCACACTGAGGACAGGTACCCAGACTGGGAATCTGTACCCTCACAAGAGGGTGGGGTATAAATATGAATCTAAAACGTAAGAAAAAGTCCTGGATCGGCACCTGTGGCTCAAGTGGCTAAGGCGCCAGCCACGTATACCCAAGGTGGCAGGTTCGAATCCCCAGCCCGGGCCCGCCAAACAACAATGACAGCTGCAACCAAAAAATAGCCGGGCATTGTGGCGGGCGCCTGTGGTCCCAGCTACTTGGGGGGCGGAGGCTTGAGCCCAGGAGTTGGAGGTTGCTGTGAGCTGAGATCCCACGGCACTCTACCCAGGGGAACAGCTTGAGGCTCCTGTCTCAAAAAAAAGAAAAAAGAAAAAGTCCTTGTCCTTTGTAGAAAGAGGGAAAGAAACATACCTACTTTATTTCTTAGAAACTTCTAAGTTCTTCTGTCTTTTTGAGATATAAATCTTTTTAAGAGCTAAATCAGTCTTTGACCACCTAGGACTTTTTCTCAGGATGGGGCAGCCATTTATTTAAAATGTAAACACAGAGAAAGTGCCCTGACCTCCACTTCCTGGTCTCCATGGAGGGTAGGAGCTCACTTTCAGCAGGTGCCTGGCTCCAAATTGCAAACATACCTCCTGTCATAAAACTATGTTTATTTTTTCTTTGGATAAAGATAATTAGCTAACACAGATGGTCACTCCAACTATCAGGTGAACTGAGGATGAGCTACATGTGACAGATAGAGGTGTCCTGTCCTCTTACTTAAGGGCTAGTCATCTTGGGAACATGTCTGTAACAAAGTAGCCCCTGGCTGGCCACACACAGGGTGCAATCTCACTCTATCTTTGTAGTCTCTTGTTAGATTGCCTGCAATGTGCACTCATTCTGGTTTAATGCACATTCAATTTTTTAAAAAATGTTTTCTTTCTCCTTTTTTGCCTGTGCTCATGGTATTTAGGCACCTGGGCCTGCCCACTGCCCTCCTCCTCCCCCACCTTCTTGGGCTGGCAAGGGACTTTGTTTTAACACTTTTCTTTTTTCCAGAGATGAATCTTGCTATGTTGCACAGATTGGCCTTGAACCCTCGGGCCAAATCAATCCTCCCACCTCAGCCTCCAAAGTAGCTATAATTACAAGCCACACCACTAAGCCCAGAGATTTTGTTTTTAATTCTATTTCCTAACAGGGGTCTGTTAAGCACTCTGACTGCAGTTTCTTCTAGACATGAAAACCTGCTGGTGGTGCAGAGCAGAGGCAGAGTGGGCAGGCCCAGGCAGCAGGGGTCCCCGGTGATAGGTGCTATTTTCCACCACATACTGCCCTCTCCCCTGCAGTCCATCCCATGTGAACTTCTGCACCCCACACCTTAGAAAAGCCTCCCATCAACTGGACTTTATGTCCACCTAAAGAGGCTCAGAGGGACTGGTGGACAGAGAAGCCACCATGGAGGGGGAAACACAGAATGAAGGGGTCAGAAATTCAGGGCAAGGACAGAGGGGTAGGCCTTGGCCTGCAACTAGAGGCCCCTACACCAAATCTAAGATAGTCCTACTTTATCCACCTTGTCTTCCAAGAAATGTTAGGACCTCAAAGTCATTTCAGGTGCCAAAAGGGCTTCAATCCTTCCTGACCTCCCCAGAACAGCGCCTCTCTTGGGCTCACTACCTCTGTCCCAGTACCAGGGAAACCAGTCTTAATAGCTTAGGTAAGAACCAAAGTGGAAACAAAAAGGACTCTCATGGACCTAAGGGGGAGAGAAGTAAACAGTGAGGGGCGAGACACAGAGGGCAGGAATGGAGGAAGGGAGGCCATGTCTTGGGGGACCCATGTCCACCTGAGCATACAGGTGGACATGGGTCCGAAAACAGTATAGCAAATGCCCTGCAGACAAAACCTGGAAAAGTACTAACCCTCCTACCATAGTCCTCAGCTGACTGGAGATGCTCAGGAACTAGACCCTTGGGCCCCATCAAAATGCCTAGGCCAAAGGACAGGCAACTAAGGGACAACTTCACCATACCCCACCAGGACCCTGCCCAGCAGTCATTGGCCTGCAAGATACACACAGGTGATGAATCTCACCACCCATTCCCACTGCCGGGCTCTGGGCTGGGACTCCCTACCAGAACTCCCACAAGGTCAGGCTATACTCCAGGGTGAGCCCCTCCCCCCCAGGGGAAGTCCTCAACCAGGCCCAGCTGCCATGACAACAGGGGGATCACACAAAGAGCAGATTGTGCCCTGCAGCAGGTGCTGAGGCCTCAGGCAGGGGAGGTAACAAAGGAGCTTTGGTTGAAGCAGAGACTTGGGGCTGAGGCAGGCAGACAGAAGCCGGGGCAAGGAATAGGCCATAGTCCAGGGAGCAGACCTGTCCAGGTCTCTCAATCTCAGACCCCTGATGGGTGAGCCTCTCACCAGCCTGGTATAGTTCTCTTCAGACAGGGGGCAGGCCCGGTAGGGAGGTCAGAAGTAGTTAGCACCTCATGAATCCTTTGTGCCAGAGGTCAAAGCAGGGACCAGTGGCAGGGATCACCCTGTGCCTTCCATCAGGAGCTGAGGCTTTGGGGTGGGTGGGAGGCAGCTTCCCAAACCAGGTCAAAGGACCTGCACCAAGCCCTTCTCAGCCATGAGGCCCCACCAGGTCCTCACCTGCTAGACACTGCCTAGCTGTACCAATAGCCCCTTGCCTTCACAGGAGAGCCTGGCAGAAGCTGGTCTTCCTAGACTCCTTCCCAGGCGACTACCCAAACAGCCTGTCCCTTTCTGTCAGCCCCATCCTTTCCAACCCACAGTTGCTTCACCCTGATCTACCTGGTCCCCAGAGCAGCCCTGGCCCTCTCCTAACAATCCCTTACCAGACTCTGTGTCCTCTTTGCACAACTTCCTCACATTAACTCCAGGGAGAAGGGACTTGCTCCCTTGCCTGGCTAGTCCCCAAGATGCAAAAGGTGCTCAGTACATAATGAATGAACCAAACAAACAATGGAGGACTCTCAGGAAGAGGCTCCTCTGGCCCCAGACTTTGTCCGTAACAACAAATACCTAAGGACAAGCCAGGAGGCATTGTTCGCTGCCTGAGAAACAATTTCAGTTAAAAGCTGGTGTTTTAATTTTAAATATACACTTATGGGCATATGAGAAACTGACATCAACACCAAATGCACACACAAACACACCCAGAGGCAATCATATCTAAACATAGCTAAGGAAACAAAAGTTTGAAGATATAAAAATACAGAGATATTCATACACAGGAGAACAGCTATAAAACAGTATCTGCAAATACAGGGGAAACCTACAGACAGGTGTGGCAACCGTAGCTCAATCGGCAACAGCACCAGGCACATTCACCTAAGGTGGTGGGTTTGAACCCCGCTCGAGTCTGCTAAGCAACAATTGACAACTGCAACCAAAAAATAGCTGGGTGTTGTGGCAGATGCCTGTAGTCCCAGCTACTTGGGAGGCTGAGGCAAGAGAATCACTTAAGCCCAAGAGTTTGAGGTTGCTATGAGCTGTGATGCCACAGCACTGTACCCAGGGTGACAGCTTGAGACTCTGTCTCAAAAAAATAAAATAAAATAAAACCTACAGATATACCTAAAGATCCACAGACACACATGTGCCACTATGATCCATATCAGCAGAAATCACTACACAGCACATTCATGAAAACTGAAATGCCAGTCCACTAGTGACCCAAGTGTCCTCGCACATTCATGGCCATCCCACTGGGCCCATTTGCCCAGGTAAAAGAACTCAGGAGGGTGGAAATGGAAGCAACCCATCTATGGCAGGCTGCAGGAGAGGTGGACAGGCCAGCAGGGGCTGCAGCTGGCTGAAGAGAGGGCAAAGCAGGACAGAAATCTCTAGAAAAACAGCAAGGCTGTGCCCAGTAAGCCCAGTGCCTCATGAGACCCTTCTAGGGCCTGGCTTCCGGACTCTCATCCACAGGGTAGTAGCAGACCCTTTGCCTTTCAGCCAGCTTTGGGGAGCCCTGAAAGGCAAGGAACCTGCAGGGCTGGTTCATTGCCTGGGTCTGTCCCCTGAAGCCTATTCCTGTACAAGGCTGCCCTTCTCAGTCCCTCACCTAGGACTCTAGACCCCCACTTCAGGCCCATGTCACAACCTATAATTCACACTAAGCTGCTCCTTGTCCCTGGCAAATCCTTTAACTCTGGGCGTTGAGTTCCTAAGAGTGAAGGTGAGCTTACAAGTTGCCTCCACACTTGCTTAGCCTCACAAGTGGAAGAGGGTTGAGGCTGTGTGTGCAGAGTCCTGTACTTTGCAGGGCAGTTCTGATGCTCCTCCCAGAGGTCCCAGACCAGACCAGGTGG